AAGCACTACACAACTCTTATTTTCTCTGTTTTCTATTAGTTTATTTTGCAAACTATGGCCTATAATAATATTTAAAATAATATTTGCACTTTACAGGAGAGGCTGAGGGAAAAATTAAACATTATAGATAAAATCATAAAAATGAAATAAACTATGAACAGCAAATATCAAGGGACAGAAGAATTAAGGTTTTACAATTGTTTTTGTTGTTTGAAATAAGGTTGTGAGGTCCCCCACACCAGCCAGAGTAAGCACCATATACTCAGTGTGACCTAGGAAGTCCTATGTTCTGAGGAGAATTCTTAATATGGAGTTCTGTTTAACTGTTTTTATGGAATTATTAATTTTTTGAGTTACTGAACTCAAAAAAAAAAAATTAATAATTCCATAAAAACAGTTAAATGGTCTAGATTCTGTGAATCTAGACCATTTTTTTCTCAGAATCTAGCAATAAGACAAGTTATATCTTGGACTCTGGTGACAGCATGTAGATCACTAGTACTTATTCTGCCAAAACCTGGTATTGAGCAGAGCCCCTGGGAGTCCTACATAGCAATAAATGGGAGGGAGGAGAAGGGAGATCAAGGACAGCTTTTAAAATTGACTTTTATTCTACTTAAAGTCACACAGAATGGTATGACCCTGCTTGTAGACATCTCTCTGCGGCACAGTTCCAAGGAAATAAGTTCTATATTGATCCTTAGCATTAGTATGGCTGTATTAAACGGAGTCCCTCCAATGTATTTCATAACAAATTGAACTTAAAAAAAAGATCTCATTTTATCTGTATTACTGCTTCATAAGAGCACATTCACTTTAATATGATTGTCTTGAGACAGGGTCATTTTGGAGGAAAGGGTGTTTTATATTCTTCCTGATTATTTCCTCTTTGATATGTCTAGTGGTTTTCTTAATGATAGCATAAGATACATTTATGATAAATTTTCTAGAATATTCATTCTCAGGACTCTTAGGTACAGTATTTTCTATTTTCTTCTACTTATTTTCTCCCTTCTTTTGTGATACTGTACATTCTACTGCTTCCTTTTTCTTTCTTTCTTTTTTTTTTTTTTGTTTGTTTTTGTTGTTGTTTTAGCAGTTTTGGGAATTGAACCCAGGGCCTTGTGCATGCTAGGCAAACATCCCACCTCTGAGCTACATCAACAGCCCATCTCCTGCTTCTTTGACCTATTCCTGATATTCATTTCTCTTAGCTTAGAACTTACTCTTAGGCACCACACTAAAAGAAATGATCTTAAGTAATGCATGCTACTACATAACCCAGACTGAGTATATTTAGGTTAGTAGCTTTGGAAAGGCTCCTTGATGGTGTTGGCTTCTAAGCTAAGTCCAAAGTATAAATAGGAATTAACCCAGYGAAGGCAGGATAAGAATTCTGCAGCATGTACAAAGGTCTTGATGCAGGGAAAAGAAGCTACAGTTGGGGAACTACTGGCAATATTTTATGGTTTAAAAGTAGAGTGAAAAGATGAGGAAACACTGTAAATGAGCTGTAGAGATGAACTAAGGGCTCTGAACATGAAGGAAAAAAAAAAGTTCTTCTTTTGTTTGAAAGAAAGACAGAGACCAATTAAGGATTTTAATCAAGAGAATAACATATTTTAATTTATACCCTAAGAAGTCTCTGGAAAAAAAAGGTACCAAATGGTTTGAATATGGTAATTTTAGAAACAAAAAGCACTAATTTCCATTTACATGTCGCCATTGTTAAATTTATTTTGGTGTGATACTGTAGTCTTCAAAAATCTGAAATGTGGTTCATTTAAGTAGAGTATAATGATACATGTATTAAATCTATGCTAAAAGATGAATCTATTCAAAATTGGTTTGTCTCGAGTCACTGCAAGCTAAAATCTTGTAGTAGTGAGCCATTTGTCCTTGTTAAGACAATAGGCTAGAGAAGCTCTTACCACATTTGCAACTATGTAGTTTTTTCATAGTAAAAATCATTGTTGAACAAATCCTTTTCCTGTCACTTATATTCTAATTAAAGTATCTAGTTGAAGAAAGGCACATTCATTTTGAAAGCATCCTTCAATACCTACATAATTCTCGAGAAAGAACACAGTTGAAAAAAGTTTCTATTTTAAAAGTATTTTTCACGGTAGCTCACAGACTTTCCTGAACAAGTTAATTTGAGCATGAGATTATTGAGCTAATAGCAGATAACTGCTATGAATCTCCACTTTTATGGGATCAAACTAAAAAAGAGAAAGAAAAGGACTAGTAATGCTTACTTTAAAACAAAAACTACAGCTCATTATCAATGAAAAGATTATAGTCCCTGTCAAAAAATTAAGTTACTCAAAATGGTCCCTTCAAAAATGATAACGAGAACTGGCATTACGTAAAGTAAAGGAGGCTGAGAAAAACACTTGGATTTCACTTTTAACTGGTGCCTTACTCCTCCCGCAAGTAGTATAAAATCAAAAAGAATTTTTCTGTCACCTTGAAAAATTGGCCTCAAATTTCCTTATATCCCAGTAGTGACACCTTTCAGATTTATTTTTTAAAGCTAATTACTTGATAGTGTCAAATATTTCATTTTCAAATCATTAAATATTCATACTTTTACATCGTGTCTTGGAAACATTTCATTGATTTTATATGCAAATAATATATTGCATGATATTTTATTGCTTATCACCTTAAGAATCAATTTCACTTAATATTTTACAAAAAATGTTATATTTTCTATTTGAATTGTTTCAAATGCTTGAATCATTTTATTTTATGAATCCTGAGCTTTTATTTTGCAAAAACATTGAAATAAGAGTATTATCACTTTTCTCCAGTATTGCTTTCATCAGCAAAATAGTTAATAGGCTCCTGTATTCCTTCAGTGATGGTGGTGGGCCAGTGTAGACAATGGTGATGGAGAGAGAGGGAGAGAGAACATTCAAGCAGAGGAATGAGTCACAGACAACAAGCCTTGGCAATGTGGGGTATTTAGTATATGTGGAAGAAGAGGGAAAAAAGATACTCTGCCTTCTTTATGAACTTGGAGCAGATAAATAAGGTTGTGTACATTACCATTCACACACACACACAAAAATGAATGTAGAGAAAAAGGAAAGTTGAGAGTGGAGGAAGAAAAGACAGAGAAGCAAGAAGACAAAAAAAATCTTTAAGAAATGCTATAATTTAATAATTAAATGTCCAGAAATTGATATGTTCTCCCCCTGCTGTGTCTATCTTGCTTCTTAGAAATTTTAGATACCCCAAAGGCATTGAGATGATACTGTGACCTCCTCTAGGGCAGCAGAGAGTTAAAGTCCTTTAAAACATGTGCACTTGTCTTTTTCTAAGTAGACAATGAATGACAAACAGCTGGAGGCTCATCACAGGGTTTCCCACAGCTCCTTAAACCTAAGTTATCTAGAGTCTGGCTAGAGCCAGTGCCCCTGAAGTTTATTGCCAACACATGATGTTAAGAGTAGTTTTGAATCTAATAGTAAGGAATTCAGTGTATGTATATGGAAAGACTGATGTTCTCATACATTCTCATAATTAGAATATGAATATATTTTTTCCCAAATGATGATTCTTTAAAGTGAACATTCTCTTAGTATTGTTAGGAGATCCCTAAAATCTGGGCAGGGAACCTAACTACTTTTATCTGTAACTTGAAATATGTTTTCCCATTAAAAAGAAAAAGAAAATTTATTAAAAAGTAATTTAAGGACATAACTACCTGGGAGCTACTTATACTTTACATTAGTAAATGTCAAGTTTTAAAACTGTGTTACGGTGAGTCAGTGCTGAGAGTATCAAGGTAGATCACTAAGCTACACTAATGTGTGTTAAGGAAATTGTACTGAAATTGCTCTGTATTTTTTAGCTTGTGACCATGTGTCTGTCCCCTCCTTTTTTTTTTCTTCTCTCTTATTTGCTGCATATTTAGAAATTCATGTTATACYTAATGTGAATAGAGTATTTTATAGAACTATTTTTTAACACCAAGTTTGAAAAACTTAACAAGAGGGCTTAAATTTTTAATCCCCTAATTGTCACTAAGGCTGAGAGCATAAGAAGCTTAATACTGCAATTTTGTTTTCTGTGATTAGAACTGAGAAGACCCACAAAAAGGCCTTTTTGGCAGTGGTCAAATAGCTGTGTTGTCAGTCAAGTGACACTCTGATACTTTGGTATTGACTTATTTTTTCCATGTTTATTTTTTTTTCAATTCAGTTTTTGTGCTGTGATAAAGTATGCATAACCATTTTAAGTGGACAGTTTAGTGGCGTTAAGTACATTCATATTAGTCTGCAACCATCAACACCATCTCTCTCCACTTTTTTATCTTTCACAACTGAAATTGTGTACACATTAAACACTCTATCTCCCACCCTCAAGCCCCCTAACTCCAGTTTGCAGCAACTACAGTCTACTCTCTGTATCTACGAATATTTGTCCTCTTATGGCTGGCTTATTTCACTTGGCGTGATGTTATGAAGTTTCATCTGTATAGAAGCATGTGCCAGCATTTCCATCCTTTCTTTTTAAACATTCCAGAATTTTAATTTATAAAAAATAACTGGTCAATTAATACTCATGGAAATTCAAATCAAGACCATATTGAGATACTGTTTGATACTATTCAATTGGGAATAATTAGAAATGCTGATGGAATTTGATCATTATATATTATATACATGTACTGAAATGCCATACTGTATGTTATAAATATGTACAGTTCTTATATGATAAAAGTATGTACATATATAAGATTGAACCAAATGTGGGAATGGATATAAATACAATCTTTATATACTTATAGGGGTAGGAGGTCATGTAAATAGTACAATCACTTGGGATTTTTTTTTTTTTTGCCATGTTTAAAGTGAAAATAAARTTGAGGGTTTCTAGAGCCTTTAAACTCTGTACTGTCAAATAAAAATGGTTTCTGAAGTATGAAGGCTATTTGAGGTCCTACTATGAACAAGCAATATAGATGCTACCTTTCAAATTTATTTCAGGAATCTCTACTACAGGACCTCTGGGCATTGGAAGCACCACCACAAGTACCACCCTTCGGACTACAACTTGGAGCCCAGGAAAGAGTACCACCCCATCAGTGTCAGGAAGAAGGAACCGGAGCACCAGCACCCCATCTCCAGCTGTGGAGGTTCTTGATGACATAACCACTCACATACCATCAGCATCCTCCCAGGTCCCAGCTTTGGAAGAGAGCTGTGAGGCTGTGGAAGCTCGAGAAATCATGTGGTTTAAGACCCGTCAAGGACAAATAGCAAAGCAGCCATGCCCTGCAGGAACTATAGGTAAGTCTGTCCTAGAGAACCAAAAGTTAACAGCATTTTTGTACTTTAACTTGAATTCCTAGAGTTCTTTTATATTCGCACCCCTGCCCCTCTGTCTTTGGTTACTACATATTTTGTTACTTCATATTCGGTTGAATTCTGAACTCAGTTAAATTACAATTTAAAGCAATGTATTGTCAAGAGTTTGAAAATGCACTCTGCAAAATTCATAGGTGAGAATTGGGTAGGAATGCTTGTTAGATCAGTAGTGTTCAGTGTGGGTCTTGGGGTCAAATTACAGTTAAGCTGCAGATGTTCCTGCTACTCCAGGGAGGTATCTTTTCTGTGCAGGGCTGAAGAGGGAATCCCTGATGGCTGGGTTTCCACATGCTTGTCTCCAGTAGTGAAATACTGGTTGCAGAAAATGAGGTCCAGGACATCTATATTAGAAGATCAGTGAGCTGACATAGCATTTAACAAAAGAAATTTTCACCTGTTATTATAGTTGTCCCCTAGTGGTCAAAGGCTCTTAAGATTGTCAGGAACCATGCTGGCAGGAGCCACCTCCCACTAAYCCACATTCCTGAGAGGGCAATCCCACACTGTGGTCTCTAGGCAACAGAGAAGAACTAAATAGCTCTTTACCTGTTTTATTACTGACATATTTATCATATCTCCAAACTGTAATTCTGTTATTATTTACTATATTTAAGAAAGAAATATGCTAATTTTTTATTGTTACATACGTTTTAGATCTTTATAAATTGCTACTTGACACATTTTTAAAAAATTTGCATTATTTCCTAAAATATACAAATATTTACACAACAGATTTTGCAAACCTACCCTTCTTAGAGACTGTGTTTGGTATCGGATTTGGTTTCTTTAAGGAAGAAGCTTTTTCTTAGAAAGTTCCAACATGATGTATCATTCCAAATTCCATGGTATATGAAGTGGTGGGAAAACCAATGAGTATCTTGGTTTTTATAGAAGTGCACGTATATTTTTAACAAAGCACTTAATTATTCAATAATCTTTTTTTTTCTTTTATGAAAAGGAGGGTGTATATTTATTTCTAAAGTTTCCTGTATATTAAAATCAGTAAGCCATTCAAACCCTCCTTCCTTCTCAGTTCTCAGCCTCAGTTCCTTCATCACTAAAAGAGAAATAACAACAGCCTCCATACTTGAGATATTTGTCCTGAAGATTAGTGAAACAACTTTATTTGGAAGCACTCTGCAGTACAGAAATATGCCATTATTGTTCTGTGAAAATTAGAGAAGAGGTTTAAAGAAAATATTCTGAAGGCAGTGCAGAAATAAAGGTTACTGTCAGTGAACATCTAACTTAGTATATGCTCCTCCGTCCACTCTGTAATTCCTTGTTCTAGGCCCTCACAGCTTCTCACTTGAATTACACCAGTAGCTTTCTCACAACATCCCCATCACTTCCTCAAATTCATCCTCCATTCTGATGCCAGATTTATCTCTGTAACACCGACATCTGCTCATTTCTCTCCTCTCCTTAGTGGTCTTCTTTGATTTTCAGCACCCACACATGATAGACAAGGGACTTTGCGATCTGACTTTGCCTCCCTTTCCAGCTCCATTTGTCCAGTAGACTCCAGTTCCAAAAACTTGGAGTCTCCAAAAGACAGCGTATATTTCCTCCACTTGGAATCTCCTTTCCCACCTGTTTTCCTGAAAGACCTGTGCACGGATTCCTTTGAGACTCTTCTATCCTGACTCAAGCAAGAAGGTCCACGTTACAGAAGTACCACATCGATTGAATTCAGGAAATTCTTCCCAAACCTTGCACAGTTGCAGCAAGTTTTTAAAAATAACAAAATGTTTTTGTTTGTTGTGCAGTATTTTTCCAATACCAACTCTTTGCCAGGCACCGTATCTGGAGTTTAATAGACATATCTCAATTTAATTATCTTACTTTTACCTTCATTTATATTTAAGCATAGCAAGGATGTGGAGTCATTCTAAGAAAAATGGTTTAAGTATTCGAAACAGACATATTTCTCTCATTATTATAGGTGTGTCAACTTACCTATGCCTTGCTCCTGATGGAATTTGGGACCCCCAAGGACCAGATCTCAGCAACTGTTCTTCTCCTTGGGTCAATCATATAACACAGAAGGTAAATAGTGTGACTAATAAGGAAGGCTTTGCTAAATCTATATCCTCTGTTGCTGATTGTTAACTGTTGAAAACAAAACAGTCAGGAGTTTTTTTTTTTTTTTTTAAATCAATGTAGAAAAACTCTCTGTTTGCAAATGTAAAGCCAAAAGGTCAAAGAGGACATATTGATTATAAAATAAATAGAAATAATAACAGAAATGAAAAAGAAACAAACTCGATTTTTTAATTTCAGATTTAAAGACAACCCCCATTATACTAATGGCTGATTTTATAATTTGATGTTTTTAAAGTGCGAATCCATGAATTTCCTCTAAGCCTGATGGTATTGCTTATAATAATTTTATTATTAATAAAATTTCTATGGTATTGTGAACTACAGATGTAAAAGTCTAAGAGACATTAGACCTCAAACAAACAAAAGCTTCTAGCATATATGCATTTGGATTTTTCCTGTGGAAATCATAATTAAGATAAAAAAGTTTACCTTTGGAATTTAAGCCATTTGATAAATGTTCTCTAACTAATCATTTATCAGTGCTAAAAGTATACACATGTGTGACAGAATCTTGCAGACTCAAATTTGCAGGGCCTATTTGGTTGCAATATGTTGAACATTTTTATTATTAATGCACTGCRGGGCTTTGAATTGATTTCATTACAAACAGAGACCAGATGTGCATTTATGCCAAAAGGGCTATGAGATGGATCCTTATTATAGCAATTTATGTGGATTTATGCACTCCTAAAATGGAGAGTCCTTCTATGGCACATTAGCTATGCTGAGGAATTTCTGAAAGAGATTTTTCCTGAGAAATATTACAAATGATGGCCTTACTAAAAGCATGCCTGTGCCATTTGCTCTTTTCTCTATTTGTTTTTAACCAGGCTTATCCTCAATAATATACTGTATAATAATCCATAAATATCTACCCAGTAGATCATTTAGCAGATGAACCATAACTATCTATTTACCCTAAATCATGGAAGAACAGTGGCTATATTGACTCTAGTTACCCTCTTACATATGCATCTCCATACTTGTTGCTATTCATAATGATGCTTCTCCAATTTCAGCACTATTCCTGCCACAGTTTTTATGTCCTTTGATTTCATTACAATGTAGCTCAGACCCCAGGGCAAATAACTCTTGCTGGATATATCAGATTAAGAGATCAGTAGCATATCTTTTTACATTAGCAACTTTTAAAAAATACTCCCTAGCTCCTTAGCCCAGGGGTTAATATAAATTCAATAATAATTCACCTACAAAGCTAAGTGTTTTCATGATAATTTCTGAATGTGGTTGGACTATTTCATTGCAGAAATTACTGGATGACTTGAACTGATAATGATATTTAATTCCTTTCTTTCCTCTGCAGCCCTGCTAATCTTAGGACAAAAGAGATAATTCCTTTCAAAGACCAGACAGCTGTTGGCCATTTGATTTATGGATGAGATGTTTTTGTTTTGTTACATGGCCTGTACTTTCAGAGCATTTCTTTTTAATTCTAATGAATCTATAAGATTGTATTATATTGTATTGTAATTATATTAAAATTAAATAATTTAAGGAGCTGAAATTTATAATAATTCCTTAAATGTGTAAACTCTAAGAGGAGGCTTTTGAGTGCTCTGAATTAGCGTCTAACTCACCCAGGGTCTGCCCAAGTATATCTGAGGTTTTAGCTGGTTCTGCTTCCTCTTGACTTCATACCCTTCACCACAGTGGTTAAACTGTACAGAGATTACGATGGCCTTCACATCACCATATTCACTTACCTAGGTAGTCTCTCCTCACTCTGTCCACCCTTACCTAGTTGTGTCTCTCATGCCTCCAGATATTTCCGCGACTCACTGAACTTAAATGATGGTTGAACAGATTTCTTAACCACAAAACAACAGCACTTTTAAATATTAGCATTGTAAACCTCCAAGAAAGGATAATCCATGAATGTTGTCCATCAAGTTATTCATTAGCTTTTTCCTCCCAAAACATCCTCCACATAAATCATTCCATTCCTCATCTCTTTGCACATCTCAACACCAAGGTCCCAACAATAAACAGATGGGCCTTTCCATGAGGGTGTGTTTACAGTGGCACTTGGGCAGTGAAGACAGACTGCAAGGGACTGAGCTGGAACCCAGAGCTAGTAATAGAGCAAGAGCTGTTCCCAACCTTAAGGCCTTGTAGATAAATAGATTAGAAATTGGAAGCAGAATGCCTTTGAGAAGCTCGAACTCTCTTTCCATTCAACCACCCCACTGGCCAGAACCACTGGAAGCCACAACTGAGGGGCTTGCTTAATGAATTCTGTTTAAGTCCACCTCCTAGGGTGGAGAGCAGGCTGGAAGAGGGTGGAACAGGACCCTGAACTGGCAGAGGAAAGTTGCTGCCCAACACAGTGCTGAGCTTTTCTCTACTCCCTTCTTTAACTTTCTTCCTGTATTAGTCAGCTTTTTTGCTGCTGTGACTAAAAGACCTGACAAGAACAATTTTGGAGGAGGAAAAGTTTATTTAGGGGCTTATGATTTCAGAGGTCTCAGTCCATAGATGGTTAACTCCATTGCTTGGGGCTTGAGCTGAAGCTGTACATCAGAAGAATATGGTGGAGGGAGCAGCTCACATGATGTCCAGAAGGCAGAGAAAGACTCTACTCTTCAGACAAAATACATACTCCAAAGGCATGCATCCAGGGACCCACCTCCTCCAACCACACCTTACCCGCCTTCAGCCATCACCCAGTTAATCCCATCAAGGAGATAATTCACTGATTGGGTTAAAGCTTTCATAACTCAATCATTTCTCCTCTAAACCTTCTTGCATTGTCTCACACATGAGCTTTTGAGGGACACCTGACATCCAAACCTTAACACTTCCTTTCTTACTCTTTCTTCTCTCTCCTTCCTTTCTGTTTTTCTAACCCCTCTCCTCTGCTCTGAATTCCTACTTCTCTTTTTATGATTTTTTCTCTGCCATATTTGAAAATTATAATTTTCTCACCAGTAAATATAATTTTCTCCCCAGCACCTAGAATACTTTCTTGATGAGAACTAATAAAAGACAGAATTTTTACAGAAAGGGAAATTTCTCCCAATGATGATATGTGAGGGAGGTCTTTAAATAGAAGAGTGGAAGGCTGGATGGATCTAGGTGAGTGAATGGATGGATAGATGGAAAAGTAGATCAAAAGGCAAATGGATAGATAGATAGTGAATACATATACCCTCAAATGAATGTTTAAAAGTGTTTTCTGTTTTTTATTGAAGGCAACAATTAGCTCTGAGCCTTGGATCCTGAAATATATGTGACAAAATATCATATTTCCTTACCTTCTTCAAAATCATAATCTCTGATTCTGCTTGATCTCTAGCTTATATTCAATTCTTCAAAAAGGAGTTTGTATTTCTACCTTGTGTACTTTTAAAGACTTAATTTCATTTTTTAATTTTACCAGACTTTTTTCATTTAAAATTCTATCTTGAGAGCTGGGGATGTGGTTCAGTGCTCTCCTAGCATGCACCAGGCCATAGGTTTGATCTGCAGCACCTGAGAATAGATCTATGACATTACAGTTTTGAATTGCTTCCTTATTGTTTASATGCAAAATGAGGTGTGGCCCGGTTCAACTATTATGTGAAAAAGAATTATCTTGAGTTGTCACAGGCAATAGTCTCATTTTTTTTTATTTCTAAAAAATGGGTGTTCCTTTCTTTTATCTGTACACAAGTTATTGGCAGATTTTGAGAATGTGAGCTTCTTCCTACATTTTCTAAACAGAAGTGTGAAGATCTAGGATTGATATTGCTGTTTTATGATTTTAAAAAAAGCCAACTTTTTGTCCTGGGGGATTAGATTATAATCTGTCTTCTAATATCTTAATTATCCCATTTTAACTTCCTAAGAATGAAATGTAATTAAATTGTTTACTAATTCTACCAGAGGTAGGTGGGTGCTCTTAGTCGGCTTTGTCACCTCTGTGACCAAAAGACCTGAAAGGAAGGAATCATTTTAAAGGAGGAAAATTTGACTTGATGCGCAGGGTTTCAGCGAACTCAGTCCACAGACAGAAGGCTCCATTCCTTGGGGCTTGAGGTGAGGCAGAATATCATGGTGGAAGAGTGTAGTAGAGGAAGGCAGCTCAGGTCATGGTACCAGGAAGCAGAAAGACAGACACTGCAGAAGAGGACAAAAATATCTATTCTGAAGGCACACCCCTAACAAAGTACCTCCTTCAGCCACAACCTACCTGTCTACAGTTACCACCCAGTTAATTCACTGATTAGATTAAGGCTATCCTAAGCCAATCATTTCACCTCTACACCGTCTCACATATGAGCTTAGGGAAGGCATCCAACATCTAAACCATAGTAGGGATTCCAAGACTTTAGACTTTTTAAACCTATCTTTACTTATAAGATAGAAACATTTTGTTTATATATTCAACTCTGATTTATATTAAAATAGGTAGATTTTTCAAATAAGTGGTAGCTACATAGCCATGTACTTAATATTATGAGTAATATTTTCAGAAATCATTTTTGCTTCTGATGAATGATTGTTATAAGTTTCATAAAATCTCAAAGCTAATTCTAAAAGAAATTGTTTTTATTTATAGCAAAATTTAAAATTTGCTTAGTATCTGTTTCTGTCATTATTTATTGTCCTTAACTAAAGCTGCAGGGTTTCCCTTTCTGTTCAAGTCCTAGATATAATTCTACCATAGCAGTAGAGGTTATTAATTTACTAATCCACAGAAAATTCGTAAGTTTCTCAGTATGTGTTCTTATTCTGAATAAATCATTTTAGTAAAATTTAATGGATGATAATATTGAAGATAGATATTTTAATGAAGTCTGTAAATTAGAAATGACAATATTTTAATCCTGCCCCTGGACATAGAAGACTTGAGGCAGATTGAAGATACATGAATATATTTTTGTTAGGAAATAAGATCATTGTAGTAGATGATAACTAGAAGGAGAGAAATAAATAGGGTG